TTTCTACCGTATCTAACCGCACATGTGATGATGACAGCCGATGTTGGGATGATGAAGATGACGACGACGATGATGAGTAACCAGCCGTACATGGATTCGAAAAAGAGGATCGTAGGTGATGATGGCAACGATCTGTCAGAGGTCACGGTGATGATGATCATGATTATTACGTCGTTTATATTGATGAAAAGAATGGTAGTTTTAAAACATGTTTGATGATGATAATTTCATAACAGTGATGCTATTAAAATGATAATAATAATAGCGCACTTGAATGATGATGAAACCTGAACAACAATTAATGATGAATAGTGATAATAATTTATTTCACCATCGTCATCGTCATCATCGTCATCACCGTTTTCTTTCACGATATCATAAAAATGGCGTTATTTTTACACCACACGTTTTATGAGTACTTAGTCATGTGACTTAGTCATGTGTGATTATTATAACTATCATTTTATTTCTTTATATAATTATCATACGCACGTACAAATACACAGAAAGACACACACAAACACACACACACACTTATGTGTGCGTGTATATATACTATTTATATGTGTGTGTATGTGCAGGCTAAAAGTTTTTTCAGAAACCATAAGACAATAAAGATAATGGTTGATTGTTCAAGTTGTTGAGTGAATGATGCGAAAGATGCTAGTGATGATAGTTTGAAAGACAGCGGTGAGGATGATGATGATGATGGTTTGAAAAATAATGATGGAGATGGTGAAGAAGATGAAGAAGGAGAAGAAAAATATGATGATGATGATGACAGCGATGGCGGTGATAATAATGATGACAAGGGCGATTAAACAAGATTACTAACATCATCGCGTTGAACTGGTCCAGCCTATCATTGCATCGAAACAAATTCCACGACTGATAATAATCACAACATAAGAATGTTGCATCAACGTTGTTGATTTTCTCCGCAACATTTTTTCTCGATGAAACGTTCGTTGAGCAGCAACAGAATGAGGCAGACGTCGTGACTCGCTTAATGGAGCAGATGTGTGTGAACGTGTGGTAGGGCTTCTGGACACAGTCGCCAGCGTTGTGGTAGAGATTTTCGTGATGGTAATCATCGACGTCGTTGTTGTTCATGCTCAGGATTTTGTTGTGGTTGTTGCTGCTGCTGGCTTCGTTTCGAACTGTTTAAAAACGTTCTTGGTGGTGAAAAACTTATGAGATGTTCTTAAGCTTATTCGTTCTGTTTCGTTAAAAAACAGACTAACCTGAGCCATACTATTACATAAAAACAACAGTGTTATAAACACTTTATTAACAACACTAACCTATACCAACGGAAACAACAAACAATAAAAATATCAATCATAATCAATAACAGAAAATTTATAAAATGAAAATAGAAAGCATCTCAAAACAAGCGAAACACGAATAACATTTCAAGATTGATAAGAAAGACAAAATAATAACTTATCTGCATGAAATATAAAGCTAACGAATAATTGGCGGTAACCAAATCAAATATTTGTAATTTTTTGCTTGGCATTTGCTGAAATAACAAAAAAAAACAGAAAATCCAAAAAATGTTTGTTGATTAATAAAGTTCATGCTATTGACATATATCTAGCATACAATTAATAAATAAAACAATCAAATGATAATAATTGTTAACATTTTTTTTCCATTCTCAACTTTCATTATCTACAACAAACGTTCGCCACCATGTTCATAAACTTCAGGAAGAAAAAATTATCTATTCCTACGTGTGTGTGTGTATGTCACAATTTCTTAACTTTCGAATATTTTAAAAATTAACCGTATACCCACATTTTAAAACATGCGAACTATTTTTTTATTATTTTTTTTTAAACTAAATTCTCAATTATACTAAAAAAATAAATGAACCAGTTAAAATATTAATTTATTTAAAAAATTAACATAAAAAGTTGTGTATGAAAGTTACCAATTTGCCGGCAGGTAGAAATTTCATCATCTTCGCATGTGCAAGCTACAGGCGAAAATAAAATTTTCAAAAATTTGTATCTACATTAACGTAATAAAAAAAATTTCCATGTTTCAAATAGCTATTTGCAATGAATTGTGTTTGACAATTTTTTTAAATCTTACTTTATGTTATGTTTATACATTATTAAGGAGTTGAAAAATTGCTGACTATAATGAATAAATGTTTACATAAACTCAAATTCAACGGATTAAAATAATTTGAAATTATTATAAATTTAAAAATTATTAATAATATTTTAAAAAAAGAGAAAAGTTAATTAACGAAAACTAACCAACGAAACAAATCCAAAGACTCAAAATAATAAAAAACCTAGATGACGTCATTATCAACAGCATCTTCATCATCATCTTCATTATCATCTTATCAACGAACAGATGTTATGTTCCTAGGGATGATGACGATGATGTGATGATGATGATGATGAAAAAGTGGTAGTGATGATGTTATTGCAGATAATGATGATGACAAATTTAAATGATTAAAATGATTAAAGTGATGATTATTTCAACACAATGATATTTCTACTGATGATGACAGTGACAACTCTGTAAAATAAGGATGATATCAACAATCTTAATAATAAATATAATAATAATGATAATAATAATAATAAAATTGATGATGCTAATGAATGATGACAATCTGAAAGGATAATGACATTAATGATAAGATTATCGTCCGATTAATTATAATGTCTCTGTTGATTACATCTCATTACATAACATTGCACTGAATTGCCTTTAAAAAGTCCTACATCACATTACTATACTACACGATTTTACATCGCTATGACAATAAGTTACATTAAAAAACGTTACTATTACATTACATTACATTACATTACATACATTACGATTACATCAAAGTTACATTAAAATAAATTACCATTACATTAAGTTATATGAGTAACATTACTAACAATCATAGATTGAAGGAAGAAGAGAGTTATGTGTTTAGAGCACACTCTAATGCTTTTTACATGCACGGATATATATATATATATATATATGTGTGTGTGTGTGTGTGTGTGTATTATATATATATACTATATATATATATATATATATATGTGTGTGTGTGTGTGTATTATATATATATATACTATATATATATATATATATATATATATATATTCCAATAGATATATAATACCAATTTTATACATGTATAGGTCCCTATAATTAACAAGTAGGTACGTGTACAAAAATTTGCTTGGGTTGTTTGTTGATTTAATTAATCTGCAATTAAGATATGATGTTGATGAATACACCGTGTTAGTGGAGGTGATTATGATGATGATGATGATGATGGTCGTGGTGGTGGTGATGATTATGATGATATTGGTGATGATGATGATGGCTATGATGATAGTAAGCTTATAACATATTTCATTTGCCATTATATTGATGGTTGATGATGAAGATGATAATGATGATGAAAAAGATGATGATGATGATGACGGTTATGATGATGAAAGTGATGATGAAGATGATGATGATGACGATTGAGAAAATTAGAATTTTAATAGGACGTTTTGCTGATTAGTACAACATACGGTGAAGAGTGAACACACGTACAACATACAATGAAGATTAAGCTGACCCTGTACACACATACAATTTGACCTTACGTGTACATGTTGAATGGTGGAGCAGGTATTTTTGCATAATTAATTCTGATGGTCTCTTTTGTCAGGTGTGGTGTTGTTTCCAGGTGTGTGTGTGTGTGTGTGTGTGTGTGTGTGTGTGTGTGTGTGTGTGTGTGTTTGCAGGTGGCAGGTGTATGTAAGACTGTATATATTTTAGTTGTTGCTGAACTTGTTAACTTGTTTTTTCATAACAGAGATTGTTTCAATGATAGGAAAACAACATTACACACACACACAAAAGTTTGCCATATTTGATTAAAATCCCCAAAACTCGAATAAACCTTCTTACGAATACAAACGTAATCATACATACATAAACACTAGTAAACACATAGACACACAAACACACACGTGCACACATAAACATACATGCATAAGGTGGTTAGCATGTCTGAAGTGTATGAAATAAATAACTTTTATTGTAGTTCTGTCTGGTTGCTGATGATTTCTCAGGTGCCGCTCTGCCTTCCATGTGCTTCAACATACTAAACAACCCCTACCTTCCTACCTACCAAACAATTCTAGGTACTTAGTTGCCGTCTGGTTCGTTTCTGACTGTGAATAAAGGAAGAGAATGCATGGAAAACTGCAGCAAGAATAAAACAGAACTAGAAAAAAAATAGTTTCTAGTTTAAACTTATACACTTATATTAAGCCTTATTTTCGAAATTATCTCACAACTTTTATTTGCGAATGATCTAGCGACTTGCATAGTATTAACATACATCATACATAGTTGCCAGCCGTCCCTAATTTTGTCCTCCATGTCTCGCGTCCCACTTTGGTGTCCGAGGGACTAACATTTGTTCCGCTTTTTGCCAAAACAAATAGCTAAATAATGCTAACCTTTCGAAAGAGTTTTATAAAATATTGTATTATATATATATATATATATATATATATATATATACATACATATAAATACACACATTTGTCCTTCTTTTAAAAATCCAAATGTTGGCACGTATGCATCATACCCTAAGAATGTGTACACACACACCACACACACACACACACGCGCGCGCACGCGCACATACACACTCAAATAACAGCACACAACACATACATTTATAAATTTAAGCAACATTTCACTGTTAATTTATTCGGAAGCATCTATTTAAATTGTTTGCATTGAATTTGATCTCTCCCTAATTCGATTTCATGCACTTAACGTACACACACAACGTACACACACAACGTACACACACAAACACACACACACAAACACACATATATATATATTATTTGAGATATTTGACTAAAATGATGAGATTTGTATGCTATTTTTTCTTGTAAAGATTTTAAGATGTGATATGTTGACAGATTTTATTAATCCTCAAAATCTAAAACGTCTTAAAACAAGCAACTTTTTATCAAATAAAAAGAATATATAAATATATGAAATCTGGAAAAATGTAAAAAAGTGAAAATATTTTGCAATTTAAAAATTGTAAAAGAAAACTTTTGAAACAATTAATGTAACGGCAAAAAAGAAGCTTAAAAGCAAAAAGACGGTTCAAGTTTCGATAAACATCAAACTGTTTAAACTATGGTGCTAAAATATTAAAAACAAAAATAAAATAAAAATGTCTAATCACTAAATATCATTTAACTTTTCCAAAGTTGCAAAGTATTTATTTAATTTTTCAATTAATTTGTGTGAAATTTCGCATATAACATGAGATATATTTAACTTACACATCAATCTAGCACTAATGGAAAATATTAATCTTCTTACCTATAGCATAACTAACATCATTTCTATCACCGGCCACCAATTTACTTATTACATAACTAAAATATTAATTAGTCATTAATATATTTTCATTTAAAAATTAATTAATTAAGAGCATTGTATAAATATATATTAATATTAATTAATTAACTCATAAATCAATTAAAAATTAGTAAGGCAGTTTTTCCTTCAGGCCTTCAGGGGACCAGAGCCCTTTGGGGTCGACATTGCGGTGGTCGTAAAGGGACTTAACAGGTTGGGGTAGAAAGTTGCCGGCAGCCCACCTGTTGTACTGGTCGCCGTGGTTGTGCAGGCTGTCGTACGTACTGGGCCCCACTCGCGACCAGCTGCCCTGTCCAGCCATCGAGGAATATTGGTGGACATGGGTATCGTAATAATAGCGAAACAGTAGGAAAAGTTAAGATGGAAATTAAATGAGCGGATTTGAAATTATAAGTGAGGTGTATGTGTATGCGATTTAAACTGGGTGAAACAGCCTCCTCATCGCTAAGATTTTATATATGATTTAAATGGCGTATAATTTGGCGAATGTGTCATATTTTAAATTCTAACCATAAGATGCCAAAAATTATACATCAAGTTATCTGTTATTACTTGAAGGTTGGAGTACGTTTCCACAGGAATGCACGGATCTCTGGTGGAGTTGAACAGGAAGTTTCCCCACAAACCTTGCCTATTTGAGTACATGTTCTCCCCAACATTCATGTACCTTGGTCATCAATTTCAGTGGATTAATTTTTACCAAATGTTATTCAAACTGCTTAGCTTATGTCCTACGATTTATGAGACATGTATCTTATAAATTTTGCAGAAACATTTATAAATTAAACACATTTCATACGTTACTCGATAAAATAATTTGTGAATGAAAACATATTTAAAAATAAATAAATTCGACCAGCCACCTTCCGTCTCTGGTCACCTGTATGTTGGAGATGTTCATGTTGTCACAGAAGACTCC